ATGAGGAGATTGATTTTCTTTTGCAGGATTTTAGACAACCTTCCACTCGTTGTTCCGGTGCAAAGACCAGATCAGGAAAATGTCGTAGTTTATCAGCACGGTTTCCATGTTGGTCTCAAGGGAATCTTTGTTGGTGTAAGAACTGATCATCACCTTTTTTGTATATGTTTTAAAGGAAGGAGTTCTGATTCTTCTACCTTATGTATTTGATTTCCTGTAGAGCAAGGAGGAAAAGTATTTTATCCACAACCACTTGACCTTCACTGTTAGGTATCACAGAGATATAGAGACCGATTCTTCAAGAATTGTCGGGTTTGAGGTCAAGCCGTTCAGGTTACTTTCTGTGATTCTGTCCTGTTTTTAAGGACCTACTTTCTGATATGGCTCTGCAGTGTGTAGACTAAACATTTGTATGGTTGTTTCTCAATGCAGTATCAAGCATGAGTATGAAGGTCAGTGGAATGAAAAGGCTCGGTTAACGACATGTGATCCACACACCAAGCGCGCAGTCACCAACTCTGAGTCTCCTCAAGAGGTCGAAGCGGGGAACGAGATTATATTCACGTATGATGTTGATTTCCAGGAAAGTGAGGTGAAATGGGCGTCTAGGTGGGACACTTACCTTCTGATGGCTGATGATCAGATTCATTGGTTCTCAATTGTTAATTCTATGATGATTGTTCTTTTCCTCTCTGGTATGGTTGCTATGATCATGCTACGAACACTCTACCGAGATATCTCCAACTACAATCAGTTAGAGACTCACGAAGACGTCCTTGAAGAGACAGGTTGGAAACTGGTTCATGGAGACGTTTTTAGACCGCCAACAAACCCGGACTTGCTTTGTGTCTATGCAGGCACTGGTGTTCAATGCTTCGGAATGATTCTTGTCACCATGATCTTCGCGTGTCTTGGATTTTTATCTCCGTCAAACCGTGGTGGTCTTATGACTGCTATGCTTTTGCTCTGGGTTTTCATGGGTCTCTTGGCGGGATACGCTTCTGCTCGTCTTTACAAAACGTTAAGAGGAACAGAATGGAAGAAAATTGCTCTGAAAACCGCATTCATGTTCCCAGCGATTGTCTTTGTCGCGTTCTTCGTCCTTAACGCCATAATCTGGGGTCAGAAATCATCAGGGGCAGTCCCATTTGGTACAATGTTTGCTCTGGTCATTCTCTGGTTCGGCATCTCTGTTCCGCTCGTATTCATCGGTAGCTACATCGGTTTTAGAAAACCTGCAATGGAAGATCCAGTGAAAACCAGCAAGATCCCAAGGCAGATCCCAATACAGGCTTGGTACATGAACCCAGTCTTCTCCATTTTGATCGGAGGCATTCTTCCATTTGGTGCAGTCTTCATCGAGCTATTTTTCATACTCACTTCGATATGGCTACACCAATTCTACTACATATTCGGGTTCCTCTTCATCGTCTTCATCATTTTGATCATAACTTGCGCAGAGATCACGGTGGTCCTCTGTTATTTTCAGCTATGCAGTGAAGACTATCAATGGTGGTGGAGATCTTACTTAACATCAGGCTCTTCAGCGGTTTACCTCTTTCTTTACGCTGCCTTTTACTTCTACACTAAGCTCGAGATCACGAAGCTCGTCTCTGGAATCCTCTACTTTGGGTATATGCTCATCGTCTCATACGTTTTCTTTGTCTTTACCGGCGCAATTGGTTTCTACGCATGCTTTTGGTTCACCAGGCTTATCTACTCTTCCGTTAAGATTGATTGATATGTAATCACAGTATAACAAAGGTTTCTTGAATCTCCTTCCATTTTTGTTCTTTCAATCTCCTTGTAGCTCTTTTCTTTTTTGGTGATAGTTTGGAGATATGTACACAGAAACTTTATGACTGTAAGTGTAAACATACATATTAATGTTGGAGTTCAAATCTCTCTGCTTTGCATATTCCATGTTAATCGAAGTCAATCTTGTTCACATGACCATGCATTGCATCAACGACACACATACTAGAGAATACTACGAAGTTACAACATTAGAGCTAAAAGTATCTTAAAGAATCTAGAGTAGAAAGAGATAGCTAACCAATTTGCCAAAGAGTAGCTCTGACTCAGTAACCTCTCCACTTCTTCCTCATTTGCTGCACTCCCTGAAAGAAAAACAGGTTTTGATTAAGAGAATAGTTTCTTGAGGTTGTGAAGAGGTAACTAAATGCTTCAGAGGACAAACAAAAATCTGAAGATTCAAGGTAAATGCTAATGAATCTCCTCCGTTCTTCTTCTCCTGGTTGTTACATAGACACACACACAAGGACAATCAGATTCTAAACTGAGTAACGTAAGAGATGGACGTTTTACTTTACACGGATATAGACCTAGATAGAGAGAGTAGTCCAAGCTATGGGGAGTGTCTGAGTGGTAATTAGCTGCCAGTTCACAGAAGTGGTTTGCAATATCGTAAGCTATTGGGTTGAAACTCGAATACTCA